CTCCCACTTTACCCTCCAACCCCCTTCCATCCCTCTCACCCCACCTTCCCCACCCCTCTCACCCCCCCTTCCCCACCCCTCTTAACCCCCTTCCCCACCCCTCTCACCCCACCTTCCCCACCCCTCTCACCCCCCCCTTCCCCACCCCTCTCACCCCCCCTTCCCCACCCCTCTCACCCTCCCCATCCCCACCCCTCTCACCCCCCCTTCCCCCGCCCAGGTCATGAAGAAGGACCCTCGGCGACCCCAGGGGAGTGTTTATGTGCAAGGGTCGGCGGTGGCCAACTCTCACTTTCAATAACTGCCTCTTCATCCCAGACTTAACCGCCGCTGCTCCCGGTCCTGTTTATGGCTCGTTAAGGCAACACTAACCGTTTATACTCTCTCGCTCGCCCTAGTTATTAGCCGGTGATTAAGCGTGAATTGGCTCGCAGAGATGCACGCGTGGAGGTACATTTGCAACTGGGTGGGAGGGGAGGGGGATAGGAGGGAGGGAGGGAGGGGAAGGAAGGAGGAAGGAGGAAGGGAGGGAAGGGAGGAGGTTAGGAAGGTTTTAGGGAAAGGAAGTGGGAGGAGGAAGGGAGGAAAGGGAGGGAGTTAGGAGGCTCAGAGGAGGAAGGAAAGAGGTAAAGAGGAAAGGGGGTATACGGAGAGTAGCAAGAAGGGTAGAAGGAAGAAAGGAAACGAAGTAAGGAAAAAGGGAGGAAAGGTAAAGAAATAAATCAAGCGAAAGGAATAGAGAAATGGAGAATGAATAGGATAAAAAAAAAGAAAAACAGAGAACAGGAGAGAAGCGGAGAAATGAAAACGAAATGAAATCCTAAACAGAGGAATGTCAGGAAAGAAGAGGCAAAGAAGAAGGGAGTACTAGATGGAAAAGAAAAGAAAAGAGGGAAAAGAGAAGATAAAGAATAAAGGATCTGGCTATGGATGAGGCTTTCCTATTCTAGAGGCAAAATGACGTCACCTTAACTTAAAATATCCAATTTACATATCACTCAACCATCTTTAAATTGATACTTATTTTTTTTCATTTCTTTATTTTTCAGAATGGAGGAGGAAGAGAGGAAAAAGGAGAAAATAAATTGGAGAAGGAGAGACGAGGAAGAAGTGAAGACGATAAACAGGGGCAGTCGGCGGGGGCAGGAATAGAGGGGAGGGGGTGGGGGACTGGAGGAGGAAGAGGAGGAGTAGGAGGAGGAGGAGGAGGAGGAGGAGGAGGAGGAGAAGGAGGAGGAGGAGGAGGAGGAGGAGAAGGAGGAGGAGGAGGAGGAGGAGGAGGAGAAGGAGGAGGAGGAGGAGGTGACCAAAGCGTGCGCTGAGAGACACGTCCTGCAGCTTAAGATTTTAAAAAAATGTAGATAAATAAATAAACAAATAAATAAAAGATTTAATCGTGACCACGGCACGACAGTTCTCCTTCCCCTGGGACGTCTTCTTCGTTACTTAATGTTATGCCTTGGCACGCTCTTTCGAGACCTGAGAAGCACCCACGCCTCCCCCCTCCCCCTTTCACCAACCTCCACCTCCTTCTCCTTCTCTCCCTTCTGCCTATCCTACCCCCTCCCCACCCCACCCCCTTCCCCTTCGGTCCTCTCTGCCTATCCTCTCCCATCCCTAAGAGAGAGAAAGGGGGGGAGGGGGGAGCGTGTTACATTCATTCATTTACAAGTTAATTCCTCTTTTCTTCTGAGTCATAGTATTGCTTCACACGTTGCTCGCCAAGTTATATGAATGGAGCAATCTTAACCATTGAGCAAACTAAATCGTGTATATCAAGTGTTCATTCACTGTGGATGGTAAACGTTCGTACATGCGCACGCACACACACACACACACACACACACACACACACACACACACACACACACACACACACACACACACACACACACACACACACACATACAATAAAAAAAACAAAAAAACAACAGGAACATCAATAAAAGTACGATTATTAATTTAGAGAAAAATAAAACAAATATAAGTGATACTAATAGATAAATAAAACATGCCAACAACATCACACTGTATACTAACCTTTTCAATCTGCATGTGTTTCATTTTGTAAAAACACTGAAAACGCGATAAAAAAAAAATACAAAAACAAAAATATAATCTGTTTCAGCAAAACTTCAGCTAAAACGTCATCCCTTTACGAAACACTACACAAGACACGGGCAAGCACACGCAAGCAAGCACACCTACACTTCCAAAAAATAAATCACTGAAATAAAACAGATAAGTGTATATATATCAAATAACTGACATAAAAACCCACCCTCTAATAAAATATCTACCCTAACAATATCCTCCAATGAAACTTTTTTCTTTTAAATCAGAAGCAAATCACAAATAAATAAAAAAAACATAATAATAATGATAAAAAAAAAAAAAATAATAATAATAATAATAACACAAAACGAAATCTTCTCCAAGCAGACGCTCCAGGAACCCGCACCACCGTCACCGTCACAAACCCTACTGCTCCTCGAAGACGTGGTCGAGGACCTTCCCCTCCAGCCTACAGCCTTCCTTACGTGTCCTGCCACCTTGACCACTACTGTCTTGTCGCGGCCTGATCTTCCTCGAACCATAATTAAGTTGGGACCCTCAGCCTCCAGACGGGACAGAAGGAAAACCGCAGAAGGTGGATTCATTGTATTGGCGTCCCCTGAAGAAGCCTTTCTCTTTCGTCTTTTCTTTCTTTCTTCCTCTTCTTCCTTTATCCTATCTTTTTTCTTCTTCTTCTTTCTTTCTTTCTTTTCTTCTTGTTACTCTTTTCTTGGGTTTCCTCTTTTTCTCGCTCGTTTTTTTTTTTTTTTTTTTTTTTCTTTTTTTTTTTGAGTGTCTCTGCTTCTATTTTTGTACCTTGTCTTTTCTTTGGATTTTTCCCTCTTATTCTCTTTCCTTTTTTTACAGTTTTCACAAAGGAATGAAAAATGTCTGATCTATATATACTCTGCCAGAGATCTTTTTCTTTTTTTTTTAACTTACTGTATGTTCGTATCGTTTTATTTAAATTTTTTTCTTTGTAAAATATAGATTTAGGAACATGACTACGAGGAAAAAAATATAGATATAGAGAGAAAGAGGGGAAGGGGAGAAAGTCAGAGAGATAGAAAGATAAATAACAGGATGAATAAAGAGGTAAAGAGAGAGAAAAGAAAGTCAGAAACAGAACCTATGAAAGATAAGGAGAAATGAGAGACATGAAGAGAGAGAGAGAAAAAAAAAATCAGAAATCACGTCGAAATTAAAACAAAATAAATGTAAATGAAATATGACATGACACATATCCACCTATCAACATTTCCCAAGGTCTCCAGCTTTCCATTCTCCCCCCTCCCCCCTCCTACCCTCCCTCTTCCCTCCAACTCTCCCCAACAACTCCTCTCTCCCCCATTCCCTCCAACTCCCTCCTACCCCTCCTACCCCTTCAACCTCTTTCCCCCATTCCCTCCATCCCCTAGCTACGCCCTCCACCCCTCTTCCTTAGCCCTCCCCAATCACCCCTTCCACCCCCATTCCCTCCACTCCCATTCCCTTTACCCCTCTTCCTTAGCCCTCTCCTCCACTCCCTCCCCAACCACCCCACTCACTTCCACTCCCTCCCCAACCACCCCCTCCACTCCCTCCACCCTCCACTCCCTCCCCAACAACCCAACCCACTTCCTCCCCAACCACCCCCTCCACTCCCTCCACCCCCACTCCCTCCCTCCCCAACCACTCCCTCCCTCCCCAACCAACCCCTCCACTCCTTCCATCCCCACTCCCTCCCCAACCCCTCCCTCCCGCACACACATGCCCGGGCGCGGGAGGCAGCGGCGGTGACTCGTAACTTTACAGCCTGGCCATAAACGCTTCGACTGACCACGCCGGGATTAGGACTTCGGCCACAGCTGGATCGGCTTTGGCTGCTCGTGACCATTTTTTTGCCCTTTTTTCTTTTTGTTATTATTATTATCATTATTATTATTATTATTATTATTATTATTATTATCATTATTTTTGTATTATTATTATTATTACTACTATTATCATTATCGTTGTTATTAGTAGTATATTTTTTGCTATTATCATTATTGTTGTTGTTATTATTATTATTATTATCATTATTATTATACAGCTATACAGAGATACAGAGAGAGAGAGAGAGAGAGAGAGAGAGAGAGAGAGAGAGAGAGAGAGAGAGAGAGAGAGAGAGAGAGAGAGAGAGAGAGAGAGAGAGAGAGAGAGAGAGAGAGAGAGAGAGAGAGAGAGAGAGAGAGACAGTCAGAGAGTCAGAGAACGAGAAAAATATAGATATAGAGGAAAATAAAGATATAAAGAAACAGCATATGAGTTTTTTTACGACTTACATATTCTTTTTTTATTGAAGTTTTATGGATGTTTCGCTTCTACTTTTTACGAGCTGCATTTATCATTTACGAGAGTTTTCTGCGGTTTAAGATTTATGACAAGACCGACGGCAGTTTCAGCCTGACGTTTGTGAGTATATAAGAATTAAATGGATCTCTTTATAATTGATTTTTTTTCTTTAATTGGTTATTATTGTCGTGATACTGATAATAATTTCTTGTAAATTTTCATGAATACATGCATATGTACATATATACGTATATACAAATACACGTACATGCATGCATATATACATACATAAATACAAATGCATTCTGTCACACACACATACACACACACGCACACACACACACACACACACACACACACACACACACACACACACACACACACACACACACACACACACACACACACACACACACACACACACATAGAAACACTCACACACACACACACAGAAAAACACACACACACTTCCGCTCAGGACCCAGGCAACAAGTGACGAGCGCCATGCGTCAGGTTCCTCGGCGCCGCCGCGGAAAGCGTCCGCCGTCAGCGCCGCCCTCGGGCTGCCTCCGGACACCGGTCTTCCTTCCTGCCCCTAAGCTGACACGGGAAAGTCGGACTCTACTTACCGAACTGACTTCTCATCCACGGGTAGAGCGGTGAAGGGAGGGCGGCTTGGGTATTTTGTTGTTGCGGCTGCTGAGTTGGCCATCCCTGGCCATGTTCCTGCGCGGCCATGTGGTGGGCTGTGTCTTGAGGAGGACCTCCGGACGGATCCATGCCCGGCTGCTGCTGTGGTTGCTGCGGCGGACCCTGCTGCTGCCCCGCCATCTTGCAGGAGGAGTACTGCTGCACGGGCGGGGACGCTTGCTGGCCCATGCACGTGGGCGCCGCGGGCGAGGGGTCGCGGTAGTCGTGGGCGTCGTGCGGTTGCATGCCGTGTGGAGTCTGTGGGTGCTGAGGTGTTTGCGCGTTGTAGTAATTGTTCATGAGTCTGTCGTAGGGCGGGTAGCGCGGGTAGCCTTGCTGAGTGTAGTACGGGTGTGTGGGGGGCATGCGGGGGTCGTACTCCTGGCCGCAGTGCCCCCCGCCGCCCCCGCCGCCTCCCTGGCCGCCCGGCGCGCCCGGGTATTCGTCGGGCGGGTGGGGCGGCCGGTAGTCGGGGTAGCTGTTATAGTAGGCGGACATGTGCGACATGTCTGGGGCGGGCGGGTAGGCCGCCACGGGGGCTGAGTTGGCAGCCACGGTGCTGTGTTGTGGGGGGGCGTCAGGCAACCCGCCGGCCAGCTCGCAACCAACCTGAAACAAGGAACCAGAGGTCAGGTCTCTCCAAGGGCACCAGGGCTTGTGGAAAGGACATGCATTTATATCATAAGGATAAGGATAAATATACATAAATAAGGGGATGAACATACAGTGGAAAAAAGAAAAATGAAGATATATAAATAGAGAAAAAATCAGATACATAGATAGGTAGGCAGATACCTATTACTGGAGAGAGAGAGAGAGAGAGAGAGAGAGAGAGAGAGAGAGAGAAAGAGAGAAAGAGAGAAAGAGAGAAGGAGATTAAAAGAAAAAAGGAGAAAAAGAGAAAGAGAGAGAGAGAGAGAGAGAGAGAGAGAGAGAGAGAGAGAGAGAGAGAGAGAGAGAGAGAGAGAGAGAGAGAGAGAGAGAGAGAGAGAGAGAGAGAGATTGTTTGTGTGTGTGTGTGTGTGTATGTGTGTGTGTGTGTGTGTGTGTGTGTGTGTGTGTGTGTGTGTGTGTGTGTGTGTGTGTGTGTGTGTGTGTGTGTGTGTGTGTGTGTGTGTGTGTGTGTGTTTGTATAAGTATGCGTGAATATTGATCAAATGATATATCACATTTAACAAATATAGTTTTTGCAAACGTGAATGGTAGTATGACTAAGGCTGAAAAGACATCTAAGCATAATGCGTCACGTTAATACAGTACTTTAATATATATGCGCTTGTAAAGACATAATGGAAGAAACATGTAGCGATTGCATATACACGTATACATACATATATACATACACACACACACACACACACACACACACACCACACACATATATATATATATATATATATATATATATATATATATATATATATATATATATATATATATATATATATATGTATATATATATATATATATATATATATATATATATATATATATATATATATATATATATGTATATAAAGTGTGTGCGTATATATATGTATATACATTGTAAAGACGTAATGGAAGAAACATAGCGATTGCATATACATGTATACATACATACATACATATATACATATATACATACATAAATATATATGTATATATATATACATATATATATATATATATATATATATATATATATATATATATATATATATATATATACATATATATATACATATATATATATATATATATATATATATATATATATATATATATATATATATATATATATATATATATATATATATATATATATATAAAGTGTGTGCGTATTGTACTTGTACATGTATTCAGTATTTCCATGGACCCATGAAGAGAAGTCAAATCATCTGTGTGAAACTATCATTATTACGCCCATGAGTGTGACAGCTGCTTGTAATATTTAGAAGAGAGAGAGAGAGAGGGAGAGAGAGAGAAAGAACGAGAAGGAGAGAGAGAGAGAGAGAGAACGAGAGAGAGAGAGAGAGAGAGAGAGAGAGAGAGAGAGAGAGAGAGAGAGAGAGAGAGAGAGAGAGAGAGAGAGAGAGAGAGAGAGAGAGAGGAAAAGAGGAAGCATGTAGAGTGGCGGCTGTGGTAGAGTCGGGGGGCGTGGGGGGGAGGGGGGGGCAGGAGGGGGTGAAGAGAGCGGCTCATTCACACGATCATAATCTCCCGGGGTCGCCACGCGCTCTGCCATAACACGTTTGTGTGAACAGTCGCAGTACCCCCAGCCCTCCCTCCCTCCCTCCGCCCTCTCTCTCTCTCTCTCCGACCCTCCCTCCCTCCCTCCCTCCGCCCTCTCTCCCTCTCTCTCTCTCTCCCTCCCACCCTCCTCCCTCCGTCCTCTCTCTCTCTCTCTCTCTCCTTCCCTGCCTCCTCCCACTGTCCTCTCACTCCTCTCACTCCCTCCCTCCCTCCTTCTCTCTCCCTCCCTTCACTCTCTCTTCCCCCCGCCTTCCTTCCCTCCCCTCTCTCTCCCTCTTTTCCTCCCATAGCCCTCTCTCTCCTCACCTCTCCCTCTCTCCCTCCCCACCCGTTTGCGCTCCCCTCGTCTTCCCCCGCCCTCTTCTCCCCTCCCCCCTCCTTAACCCCTCTCACCCCAGCTGGACTTCTGACGGCTTGGCCTAGCTGTGATCGCTCCCATTTTTCCCCGACCGAACTTTATGCTACGTGTATTAGCGCTGCCGGGTATGACCGCAGCGTTCGATTCGTGGGGACAACATTGCCTTTTCGTTCTGCGTGTCTGTCTGCCTGTTTGTCTGTCTGTCTGTCTGTCTGTCTGTCTGTCTGTCTGCCTGTCTGTCTGTCTCTCTCTCTCTCTCTTTCGCGCTCTCTCTCTCTCTCTCAGTCTCTTTATGTCTGTCTCTCTCTCTCTTCGTCTTTCTTTTCACTCTCCTTTCCTGTCCCTTTCTTTCTCTCCTTATTTTACCCCCCCCCTCTCTCTCTCTCTCTCTCTCTCTCTCTCTCTCTCTATTCCTCCCTCCTTCTCTCTCTATTCCTCCCTCCTTCTCTCTCTCCGCCCTCTTTCCCTCTCTCCCTCTCCCCCCTCCGTGCCCATAGCATCTGCAGTCACCTGGTTCCCGCGGCCAGGGAATTCACCCCAAAGGCTCATATAATATGGTGTAGCGGGCTAGTTGAACCTTCGTAATTGCTTGGCTGTTATATTATTGATTAGCAAACTATATAGGCTGACGTATGACAATATTTCATGACGGGAGGCCAGTTTGTGTCAATGGGAGGGGGCGTGGCTCATCATACTCGGCGCCTGTTGCAAAATTGATGTTTGTTTCATGTAAATACCTTACCTTACTTATATACTTATGAACATACATAAGTATATACGAATATGCATACATAAGTGTATACGAATATGCATACATATATACATGCATACATATATACATATGTAAAAGCATACATACATGCATTCATACAAATATACATATATATACATACGTACGTACATATATACATCTGTATACAAACATACATATTGCCAGAAGAATAGCTAAATGATAAGATAAGGGATCAGAATCACGCAAACATGAAAAACGCAAAATGATAAAGAATAAACAAATAAAATAAAATAAGATAATTGATAAATAAATCCCCCCCCCCCCTTTTCTACGCAGGGACATCACCACTCGGATATCTGTCGACTTCAGCCTCTCGCTCTCTCCCCACTCCCCCCCCCCCCCCACCTAACTATCCTTAGTACCCATTCGCCACCTAGCCCCCCCTCCTCCCCCTTCTCAGTCTCATCACACCAACTCTAGCAGCACCTTCCCCCTCCCTCCCCTCGCCGCCTCCCTCCCCTCCCCTCGCCCCCTCCCTTACTCTTCCTCCCTCCCTCCCTCCCCTCCCCTCCTCCCCTCCCTTACTCTTCCTCCCTCCCTCCCTCCCCTCCCTTACTCTTCCTCCCTCCCTCCCTCACCACCCCTCCTCCCCTCCCTTACTCTTCCTCCCTCCCTCCCTCCCCCCCCTTCCTCCCCTCCCTTACTCTTCCTCCCTCCCTCCCTCACCACCCCTCCTCCCCTCCCTTACTCTTCCTCCCTCCCTCCCTCCCCCCCCCTTCCTCCCCTCCCTTACTCTTCCTCCCTCCCTCCCTCACCACCCCTCCTCCCCTCCCTTACTCTTCCTCCCTCCCTCCCTCCCCCCCCTTCCTCCCCTCCCTTACTCTTCCTCCCTCCCTCCCTCACCACCCCTCCTCCCCTCCCTTACTCTTCCTCCCTCCCTCCCTCCCCTCCCCTCCTCCCCTCCCTTACTCTTCCTCCCTCCCTCCCTCCCCTCCCCTCCTCCCCTCCCTTACTCTTCCTCCCTCCCTCCCTCCCCTCCCCTCCTCCCCTCCCTTACTCTTCCTCCCTCCCTCCCTCACCATCCCTAAACATCTCCCCTTAGCTTCTAAGTACGAGTAAAGTGAGAGAGAAGTGTCATCATGACGAGACTCAAGGTAGGCTCGTAATAATGACCCCGGATGTCGTCGTAAATAATAACAGGAATTGACAGGCCGGCGGAAGGACTCAATAAAGTATATGGCAATTACATAGCCCGCTTACACCCTCGTCTTGTTTGTTGCTAACGTCTCTGCATGATATAAGTTTTCTTGCGGTTCTTGTTAATTTTGTTTCTGATTTTAAGATTTTGTTGTCGTTTTTTTGTTGTTGTTGTTGTTAAGCCTCACACCAACATACATACATAGACAGCTATACACATACGTACACACCTCCCCCAGCCACCTACACATAACCCCACACTCACCCACCCACCAATATTCTTACACACAAACACATGCACACACACACACACACACACACACACACACACACACACACACACACACACACACAAATATTCACACACACACACACACATACACAAAAATTCACACACACACACACAAATATTCACCACACACACACACACACGCACACACACACACCACACACACACACACAACACACACACACACACACACACACCACACACACACACACACACACACACACACACACACACACACATCCGCACAGTAGATGAGCCATGAAGCTTCAGTGAGCGTCTCGTGACAGAAGGGTGACACAGCCCGCAATGATCTCTACGGCAGTTGTGACAGCGTGACAGTTATTAATAGCATCGTCATACAGGTACGAGGCACTTGTTCGTAGTCCATGCAGCAGTGTGTCATGCATGAACTGACAAGAAATCACAATGCCATGAAGATTTGCATGATTGACTTGGCTTGCATGTCAACCACACGTTTCGTAGGGAGTCGGGATGACTGCAGGTGACATAAAAAGGGAAGGAGTATATCATGTCTCTCTATTTTTTTCATGACACTAAAGCCCTTGTGTGGGAATAAAAAAAAAATTGGTAGAGTGAAATATTAAAACAAAGTAAAACAAATACACAAACCATGTTATATATATATCCGGTCGAAGTGTCGAAGAACAACGAGAAAAAGAAATAAGAAGAAAAAAAAATTCTCCCCGAGGTAAGGTAAGCTATCTCTCGGTGTCGCGTTTCTTGGCAAAAGTTTTCGGTCCTGTCACTTCATTCCACACAGCCTGACCACCACCACT